CGGAGGCGGGAGAGTTCTCTTCTGCTCCTAGCGCTCCTGTGAGTTCCCTGCCTGGAGCCCTCTTTCCTAACTGAAGAGCTTTCTCCTTGATGGGGAGGAAGGGTAGCTGGACAAAGCCCGCTCTCCTCTCCCTGGTGTGATGCTGCTTTCCTCAGGCTGAGGGCTTAGTCAGCTTCCCCCGGCCCCCTCCTCACCTGAACATGGCTTTAAAGGCTTTTTTTTTTAATGGGAGTGGGGAGAGCAAGTTATATTCCCGAATCTCAGGTCCACTTGAGGCTTATCCCTCTAAAATCATGAAAAAAAAAAAAATACTGTTGAAAACTGTCCACCAGGGACCAGCCTGCCTTCTCTGATGCTCCCAGCCTCCATGGCACCCAGCACCCTCAGACACCCCATCCCCCTCCAGTCTCTCCTGGAGGCTCTGCCACCCTTTCTCCTCTGTTCCGCCCCGACTCTCTACTCCCAGACACTCCCCAAAGACAGTAATTGGCAGAGACACTCTCTGCACACACTTCTGCTAGCCCCAGCCCCTCCCTCCAAACATCACCTGTCCCTGGTCCCCTTCTCTTCGCAGACCCAAGAGGAGGCAGCATGCTGGGGGTTGGGGCTCAGCCTCTTTATTGGGCAGCAGGGAAAGGAATGGGCAGCTCTCACCGGAGGGGGAGAACACCAGGAGGCCTCCATGGGACAGCTCCAACCCGTGGGTGAGCAGAGTGGGGGGGGGCACACGCTGAAGATTGGGCAGAGCAGGCACAGACCCCAGCCTTCCTCCTAGGACAGGGCGCGGGCTGCCCCCTCACTCCTCCTCATCTTCTTCTAGTGGCGGCCGGTTGCGCTTGAAGAAGCCGACCTGGGGGTGCACAGGGGCCGGGGACAGGGTGTAAAGATGATCAGTGGGCCCACCGAGCAGCAGTTGAAGAAGCAGGCTAGAAAGCAGCCAGTCATGAGGTCCTCCCCCTGGACCAGCAGAGAATCAGATCCCACTGCATGCACAAATGGAGGCCTTCCCCATTCAGAGATAACAGATGTAACAAGTTACTTGTGTTTAATTTGTCTTTTTCCCCTGAATTTTTTTTTTGAAGATTTTATTTATTTATTTGACAGAGAGACAGCAAGAGAGGGAACACAGCAGGGGAAGTGGGAGAGGGAGAAGCAGGCTCCCTGATGTGGAGCAGGAAGCCTGACACGGAGCAGAGAGCCTGACGTGGACTCGATCCCAGGACCCTGGGATCATGACCTGAGCCAAAGGCAGGCGCTTAACGACTGAGCCACCCAGGCGCCCCTCCCCTGAATTTTTTTAAAGATTATTTATTTATTTGAGAGAGAGAGAGAGAGAGAAAGCATGAGTAGGGGGAAGGGGCAGAGGGAGAGGGAGAAGCAGACTCCCCGCTGATCAGGGAGCCCAGATGTGGGGCTCGATCCCAGGACCCCAAGATCATGACGGGAGCTGAAGGCAGATGCTTAACTGACTGAGCCATGCAGGCGCCCCTCCCCCGAATTTTTCTTAATTATTGGCCATTATGTCTCTATGTGACTCAAGTGCCCAATGATATGTATTTGATGACTGTAAGTCTAATGCATGATTTTCCCTAAAAGCACCATGACTTCCCAGGGCTTGAGCACTTGAGCGAGTTTGAGAACAGCCCTCCTGGCTCAGAGGAGGGAGTGACCCCGCAGGGCCTCCCCAGAGGGTCTGGATCAGACTCGGGTCTCCCACCTCAGTGGGGGCGGGGGGGAGGGATTGGGAGTTGAGCCCTGTCCTCCTTAGGGAATTCCTTAACCAACTGAGCCACCCAGGCGCCCCCTCCTTAGGGAATTCCTGCAGGCAGGACTCCCTCCCTGTGACTCTTCCTCTCAGCCGGGAACAGGCTGAAAGGCCTTCGGATTTTAGGTGCCACCTCTCCCAGGGGTCTGTGCCCTGGAAGAGGTCCTCTGGAGAATGACACTCTTTAATAGTGGAGATGTGAATGGACCCTGGGTCACCATCTCTCTCTGCCTCCCTGTGAGGTAGGGCACGGCCAAGCCTGTGCCCGCCCAGGGACCCCACCCTCCCTTCATGCCTCACCTTCCACATGGCCAGGACCAGGAGCGTGAGCAACACCAGGCCGCCGAGCGCGCCTACCAGCACCCACCAGATGGGAATGTCCCTTTCCTCCAAGGCTCGAAGCAGGTGCGTCTGCACCTGAGGGCAAACCCACATGTTTTCTCAGTCACCTTGCCACCTGCCTCTCCCAAAGACTCAAACTTGTGGGCTGAGGACCCCCAACCAAGCCACCTACCTGTGCCACCCCTCAGACGCGGGGATGCCCCACCCCCACCGTGTGGGGCGCCGACGCTTGGGAAGACAGTGGGTCCTACAGGCTCCATACTCACCAGAGTTTCCCCACTAGGCAGGCTGAGGGCGGGCACAGCGTAGGGAAGGGAGGAGACGTTGAACCAAGCTTGCGACTGCAGCACGAACTGATCCAGTGGCCTCTGAATGGGGTGGGTGAAAGCCATTTACGTGGGCCGACTGGTAGCAGGAGTCCCGGCCCTGGCCTAATCCCCTCCCCTCAAAAGTAAGCCTTGCCCTCACTCCCTCTTCAGCCCCTGCTGCCCCTGCCCCCCATCTCTCCCCAGAGCAAGCTTGGGCCCCGCCCCCAGAAAGCCCCGCCCACCGGCACCCCCCTCCCCACCTGCTGGAGGCCAGGCTGCTGCAGGAAGGCCAGCACCCTGACCATGGCCCGCTCGCCTCGCACCATCTCCTGCAGCTCACACTGCACCACCGTGTGCGGCCCCGAGGCGCAGCTCTAGGGGGATGCCTCGTTAGTTCCCAGCCCCTCGGACCCCTCAGCCCTCACCACCCCAAGGGCCCAACAACAGAAAGGGGCAGCGGGGACAGGGAGCCCGGGCCTCCCTCGCAGGAAGGGCCTCAGATTCAAGCTTCTGACTTTATCTCTGAATGGGGCTGCTCACACGGTTCCAGAGATGCAGGGAAAGGGTGGGAAGAAGTGGGTCATCATACAGCGTTCAACACCCAGAACTTTTGTAACTCTGCTTTGGCATGTCTTCATTTTCTTTTTTTTTTTTTTAAAGATTTTATTTATTTATTTGAGACAGAGAGAATGAGAGAGAGAGAAAGCACATGAGAGGGGGGAGGGTCAGAGGGAGAAGCAGGCTCCCTGCCGAGCAGGGAGCCCGATGCGGGACTCGATCCCGGGACTCCAGGATCATGACCTGAGCCGAAGGCAGTCGCTTAACCAACTGAGCCACCCAGGCGCCCTGTCTTCATTTTCTTTAATGTCCTGGGAACCTCTGAAGATTCAAGGACCCCCACCCGGCCCCAGACACAAGACCAGCCCCAGCCTTCATACTCACCTGGAGCATTCCTTGGGACCAACGTGGTCCACCCAAGGCCCACATCACATTGCTGGTCCCTCTCCCTGCCTCTCAGAGCCTCTGTCCCCTGTGCCCCAGGGAGACCCCAGCTGGAGACCATGGAGCCTGCTCACCAGGAGAACTGGATCCTGAAGCCTGGCTGGCTGGTTGGACCCTGGCAGGGACGCCTGTCTGCGCTCCCGCTTGTGATGCCCGGGGGAGGTGGGGGAGGGGCTGGGGGTCAGCAGCCTCCAGTTCAGCTGGGGAGGCAAAGAAGCAGTGGGTCCAAGCTCCACTCATCCCCCCTCACTCCCAGAGGGGCCCTGGTTGATGGGCTGGGGCCCTACCCACAACCCTTTCTTCCAGCCAGGCTCTCACCTTGTAGGGGTTAGGAGTGGGCTGGGGGGAGCACTGAAGCCCCCCCTGGGGCTGTATGTCCAGGATGTAGAGCAGGTCAGAAGGCTGGGACTGGCCAGGGAGGCAGAGGCTGAGGCGGAGGCCACTTACAGTGCCAGGGCCATTGTTGTGGAGCTGGCGAGTGGGTGGCCGGATGTTAGGTGGCTCAGCACCCACCGCGTAACTCCTGGGTCCCTGCCCCCCCCCAGCCTGGGTCCCAGAAGGCCCTTCATACCTCATAGGTGTGCTCCACTTTGGGGCCCCAGATGTCGGAGCTGTTCTCCCTGTTGTCTTCTTCGGCCACCACCACCAGGGAGGCTGGAAAGGAGTTCCTGTGGGGCCCGAATCCCTCTGGGTGAGGTTGATCAGTTGACTCGCCTGTAGGGGTTCCTCCAAAGCCCTCTGAAGCTGAGGGTTCTGCCTGCCATCTCCCTGATCCACCCCTGGGCTCACCCTCGCAGCTCCACGTGGGCCTCTGCCCGGACTGGGACATCCAGCAGCACAGCCTCGCTGTTCGGATTCTGGCTGTTCTTGCTGGAGGGGAGCGGATAAGGAGAAGCAGGTCAGGGACACGAGCCCAGTGGACATCAGAACTCTCTGGGGCAGGGCCAGAATTTCAGAGGGGTCGGGAAGCGCTAACTCCACAAACAGCTCGCCACACTGAAGTTAGACCTGGGAAAGACCTTCTTCTAGGGCTCCAAGACCCAGACACAAGGCTCTGGGGAAGAAAGGGAACGGGGAAGTCTGAAGAGTGGGCATCCCAGAAGATCCTTTTGGAAGGAGGGCATCTGAGGGTGTCTGCATCAGGATCAGCCAGGGGAAGGGAGGTGGGTAGGAATGTTCCCCAGTCCAGTACCTTCTGATCTGTAGCCAGAAGGACACACGTTCCCCAGCCTCTTCCAGGTTCTCCACACTCACCAACATTGTGATTCCTATCTGAGAGACAGGGAGGGCCGAAGTCACGGCCCAGATGCCCACTCTGGGCAGCCCTGTCCCACTATCTCAGAAGCCCACTGAGAGAGGGAAAGCCACTCAGCCAAGAACACAGGGAGTGTGAGGACCAGGATTCTAGCCCAGAGCTACAGGACTCCAAAGCCAGCCCCTAAAACTCGGCTGTGTCTGAGCCCCTGGTGGAGCGGACCCAGCACCCACGCCTTGGGGCCTCACCCGGGCATTCCTCTTCATGGGGTTGCCCAGCTCACACAGCACCATCTTGGTCTCATTCTCCTTCTTCTGGTTACAGATGAGTCTCTCAAAGCCCTTCAGGGAGGTAGTTTCAAGAAAGCAGATGGTTGGAGTATCCCATATACATGCAAACTCCCTTGGAAAGTCTGCAAGGGACTTGTGTGCCAGGGTGGAGAGGGGGGCTTCTCAGGGTGGGAGTTTGAGGGATGTCACATTCTCCTTTACGTATCCCGGGGGCACCTTATTATTTTCTTTTTTTTTTTTTTTTA